TAGAGTATGGCCAAAGAAACCCAAGTCCACATTTTTACACAATATATTTTTGTTTCAAAACATTAACAATTATTCCACTTAAAAAAAACCCTTCATTGATCAAACACATCAAGCTTCATGGCCACCAGGTTTTAACTGCTGCCCTACAGTCATGGAAAGAGAAACTGATTGAACGAGGATCCAAGCCAGAGGCATTTACCATAGCAGAAGAGTGAATGGTTACCACACAAGGTAGAAGAAACCCCATTCATGTAATCCATGGTTCTAATAAGAGGGATGGCATAGAAATGGAGTGACAACCAGCTATGCTGATGTGGTCAGAAGAATGTGAGACACAGCAAAAGGACTAAGACTGGACATCAGAGTTTAAGCACTTTGAGGCACCAGAAGAGTTTCCCTTGGGTGACCTCCTTTCTAGATATTTAAGAAAGAATGATGAATTCCTTTGAGTATGAGTCAAGGCTAATCTCTTTTCTTATAAAGTTTGATAGCCTGTTCTCTTCTGCAAGTGTCATAAATGTCACAGGATTTACCTACTAGGGCAGTTTTCCAGGAATCTTTTTTGGATACTCTTTCCCAAGAAGATGTCTTTTGAATCACCCCCTTCCTGGGGCCAGGTAATTCTCCATTATGAATGGTAGTTTGACACCTCAATCCAGCTCACTTTACCATTGTGTAATTTTCTACCCTTTGGAAATTTCTACCAGTTTGGCTCTTACTGGAACATCCGTCCATTCAGCTGCCTCTTGAGGAAGCTCCTTGCTCAGCAAGGATGGAGACAGAGGAGAAGGGAACTGAAGGAGAATGAGAGGGCCAGTTGCTGGCTGGTTTCTTCTGCCTTCCCTCCTGGCCCCTGGCTGCTTTCAAGGAGCTCCTTCACTGGCTAGATCTGCCTCCTGGAGGCCTCAAACTCTTTTCTGGTGTTTGTCATCAGAGGTTGTAATATGCTGGGAAGAGCTTAGATCTGGAATTAGAAGACCTGTGTTTGTGTCCTGCCTCTAATAACTAGGTGCTCCTGGCAATCATTTATCCACTCAGGATTTTAGTGATAAAATGAGAATAATATCTATTTCTGTGGTTTTTATCCAGCTCAAACACATGTATATAAAAGGCTTTTTATAACCTCTAAAGCCTCACATAGATATAGGTCAGATGGCTCTTGCCATTGATATTAAAAATATCTATGTTTAAGCACAGAGGGGTTGTGGTGAAGGCATACGTTCATAAAGGTTCATTTTCTTGTAAAACAGAGTGGACCCTGGGAAGTGTCTGCCCAGCCAGGTCTGTATTTCCCAGTCTCCTTTGCCTTTGGGTGGGATAAAGCCATGAGCGCTTCCTAATGGAATACAAGCAAAAGTAATGCACGTCACTTCAGAGCCAAGGGAGTCCGAAGTGTGTGTGCCTTCTAGAATTTTCTTCCTTTCTGGCACTGGAAGAGGAGCATGCCAAGGCCTCAGTGAGGGGCAGAAATGCAAAATGGAGGGAAGTGGATTTCCTGGATCATCATGTGGAAGACAACTACCTGCTACCTGGGCACATCCTCATCGGATTATCGCAAGAATGAGGAGCAAACTTTCATCCTGCTACGCCTCTGTGATCCTGGGGTTTACTTATTATAGCAGCAATATCAGCCTGGTAACAAATAAATCTGGGAGTGGGAACGTGTGGCTCAGTCAGTAAAAAGTGCTGAAAATGAACATGTGTGCAAAGGCTGGAAATGTCTTTTTTCACTCTAATACACAGGCCACGGGGCCGGGGAATTCCAAAAGGACCTCTGCAACACTCTGTCAGGTAAGGTTGTTGTTATACATACACACACATGCACACGTGCACGCCTATAAACACACAGGTGCACACATCACTTTTGTATATGTTTTCCAGAAGGCCAGAGTGAAAGGTAGAAGTAATAGCCTCTGAGGCCATTGAAGAGCTTATCTGTAGCTCAGGAAACTAGTCCAGAGCAGAGATGGAGCGGTGCAGGTCCACAGAACCAAGGAATGACAGCCTCCAGGCCAGCACCTGGGGCTTCAGGTTCCCAGGCTCTTCTTCTCAACCCTCTTTCCCATTCCCTCTGGTTTATCCCAGCCTCTCCCTTGATAAAAGCCTGAAATCTAGATAACCCAGAAATGGCTCAAAAAGGGGGAATGGTAGGTACAAATGGATCTCATGACTTAGCATCTACCATGTAATCAGCTAAAGGACATTTTTCATTTGCATCTTAGCGTCTGGCAAAGAACTGAAAGAGCCTGTTGGCCAAACCTTTCTCCTTGTCTACTTTTCTGGGTTGTTTCGTGTCCTCCCCTTGAACCCTACATTCTAGCCAAGCCTGCCAGCGTTATCCCTGGATGACACTATAACCTGCTTATTACCCCTCTTACCAAGCCCCCTCACCAAAAGATTCTTCCTTCAAGATCCTACTTAAATGTCACGTGCTCTGTTTTTCCCAATGCTTCCAGGCTGAGTTAGTGTTTCTGGTGGTACCTATTTATGGCATTCTCAGAGCACTCATGACAGAAATGGAATTTTTATTTGTACCTTGGTGGTTCATATGCTTCATAGGCCCCTTCCCAACACTTGGCTTTTTGGAAAGGGCAATAGTACCTGTGATGTCACCCCTCTCCTTTCCTGAGCCGTTCAGACTGGGAGTTCAGACCAAACTCCCAATCCACAGGCACCGCACCCCCCAGCCTCCAACAGAGGGTTCTGCCTTTCAGGAATAGCCCTTTGGGGATAGGAGATTGGTCTCATTCTCTCCATTAAGAATTCATTCTCAAGAGAAAAGGGATGTTCCCGTCAATTGTGGGAATGGAGCTATAGAGTTATGCCATAGTGTCAGGGCGGGTGGCCACACTCGGCCATGGGTCAGACAAGCAGAGCACCTTGAGAGGGAGAGGAAGGGGCCAGATCTGAAGGGGAGACAAGAGCAAGGAGTGGGGGGACTATGCCATCTGGGGGTGGGGAAGAGCAGACTTGGTTCCTGAGGGCTTTCAGCCTCCTATTGCCAGCTGTGCCTTCTGTCTTGGGTTCCATGACAGCAGTCCCTTCACCAGGCCTTTGCAGCATTGCCTCCCCTCCCCACACTTCTTGGACGAGGTTAATGGGTTTCTGTTTCTTAGAACCAAAAGGGCCCTGGTTAAGAAAGCATTACCTGTGCCTCTGGACCGTGAGTTGCTTGAAGTCTTCCGTCTATCACCAGAATGTAGCTCAAGGCTGAGACGGTGTTCACAATCCACTTGTTGCACAGATGATGAGTCAATGAATGAACGAATGTGCCTACTGGTAATAAACACAGGGCCCTGTTTGCCTGGCTGGACTCCTGCCCCACCGTGCCTTTCGGATACAAAAGCCTCCTTCCCTTAATCACCACAGCTCTGCTGCTTCTGTCCCCCAGCATCCCATCGTCCAGCTTTTGACAGGTGGCATTTCCCTGACGTTATTTTTTTGCTTTAAAAACACTGGGTCTGGAACACTGGCCTCTGAGGGAACGCAGAGGCAGACAGGAGATACAAATAGGAGATGACACTTTCACCTCAACCACATCTGCTCCAGAAGAAAACCCCCAGCTGGCCCCCTGGACCTCTTCCTGAAGAAACATGGAAGGAGCAAGCTGTATTTAGAGAGATATAAGTATAGCTTTTATTTTTTTTTTTAAACCAACCCAACATTTCCACTGGCAACTGTCAACATAGCTTATGACATGAGCACTGTTTCTTTTTTAGTTATTTTTTTCTTAAAAAAATGTGTTTAAAATTAAACAGGTGTTTTTTTAATTTCTCTTTTTTCCCTTAAAAAAATGTATTTATGTCAATGCAGAAAGCCTAAAGATCTGTGGGCAGTTTTGTGATGAGTTCCTATGTGTATCCGTGTGTGTGTGTGTGTGTGTGTGTGTGTGTGTGTGTGTGTGTGTGTGCACGCATGCGCACACACAAGCGTGTGGGTTTTAAAGCCAGGTCCTTTTCAAATTTGTTGGGAAAAGGTCTGTAGGCCACGGCAATCTCTTTTTTCTATAAACCCAGGCTCCGTGGGATGATAGCAACTAAAGTTCCTCTTAGTGGGGCAAGAAATAGCCCACAGGCTGGAAAAAGAGCTTCGTGAGGTTTAAAAACAAGCAGGAATGTGGGACAGATGAGAAATTCCAGTTCCTCTCTTGTGAAAATGCTTTCAAACGTGACCTGAGGGTCCAGGAGAGGTGGAAGGAGCCCCTGGTTTTCTTATCAACCTCAAGGTTGATTAAAAAAAAAAAATCTCAAAAAATAAAGTCAGGCCTCTCAGTGTGGCACATTAGAAAGTGAGGGGCTGGTGAGGCTGACATTCGTCGGACACACTGACGCTTTTAAACACAATCTTTCCCCTTAAAGATCTCACGAGGTGGACAGTTCTTCTGCTCCGCCTCAGATCCGAAGCCAAAGATGACTCAAGAAGCCATCTATGCCTTTTGTCTCCCCAGCCGCCCTCTGTCATCAGATCCCGTTCCTATTCCTGTCCCCCGTCTCGCAAGTGGTGGGTCTTCCTCCCGCACAAGGATGAACGTATAGACCCGGCCCCAGGGAGATGGGCAGAGTAAACTGGAAAGGGGAGGGAAGGAACCATGACTTTTTGCTTTAAACTGGATTTTGACAGAAGCATATAAAGGTCTTCCTGCCCCTGCCACAGCCCTGGCTCTTCAGTCCACCGCATGGGTGTGCAAACACACTACCACCCAAACGCCAGCCCTCGTCCACTGAGAAAGAAAGCAGATGTGGGGGGGGGGGCAGTGCAGGACTCCCCTGGAGCCAAAAGACAGCGGTTACCGGGGGACGGGGGGGAGAGGGTGCCACTGAGCGTCCTGTCTCTGCCTGTCCCTCCCAGGGAGTTCCTCCACAGCACCTTTGTTAACTGACTTCAGAAAGAGAAGACATATGAGCAAACAATGAGCGACACCTGATGGCAAAGTGAGCACAGTAATGGCTACGATGAAGAGAGAACCGGAAAGTGGCCTGGGGGGGGGGCGCGGAGGGGGCTGGGCAATAGGACTCACTTCCACCCCCGCCAGCTGGGGGACAGTGTGGGGATGCGACCAACAGGACAGACGTGGAAGCCCTGCCCCAGGGAAGGAGAAGCAGCAAAGGGATAATCGGAGGGCGGTGGAAGGTTTGACCTCTGCTGTGGGTCAGGACACGGATGGGAAGATGGGGAGGAGGTGGATTTGTTGCTGTTGTTGGTTTGTATTGAATTAAATACTTTGTAAAGAGGGTGTTTCCTCCACTCGTTTGACTGGTTAAGACTCTGCCCTTTCAGTCCCACTGCCCGGGGGGCCTAGGTCGGGTGAGGTTCCTGGGGCCTCTGTGGGCTGCTCCCCCCGGGCGAGGTCATGGTGGCCAAGTGCCCTTCTCTCAGGAGAAGTCCGAGGTGTGTGCAGCGGAGGCCCCGCGCCCAGGCTCAGAAGCCCTTGATGTAGCAGTAGGCCTCCAGCGTGGCAAAGAGTATGTACAGGAGCCACAGGCCCACGAAGAGCCACGTTGTGGCCAGCTTGCAGCCGCGTGGGCCCCCCAGCTCCCCGCCCAGGTGGGGCCGCCGGCGGTACAGGAGCACACTGATGCACACGAACGCGAAGATGGTGAAGAGGGTGACCGAGAAGGCCAGCGTGCCGGCCGACACGTAGAACTCCTGTCCCTGCAGGGCCCAGTAGATGGCGGCCACGGACCAGGCCAGGCCGATGCCCAGGAAGACGTTGATGGCGTTGCTGCCCGTGACATTGCCGATGGAGGCATCAGAGTACAGATCCTGGATGGCCGCGGCTTTGCTGGCAAACATGTCTGGAAGAGGGAGAGAGGATGGGAGCTGGAGGGAGCCTGAGATGCGGAGGGCCCCCCACTGCCGCCCCGGCCCCACCATATGTCCGGAAGGCAGCTGGGGCCCCAGACCAAGCTCAGGAAGGAGAGGCAGGCTGTGTGGCCTTGGACAGGTCACCTCACTTCTCTGGGCTTTAGGTTCCTCATCCGCTGGGGTCTGAAAGATCCCTAAGGGCCTAGGTCCTGATGTTTACTGAGTGGGTTTGCTGTTCCCTTTGGATTTTTCTTTTTCTTTTTCTTCTTCTTCTTCTCCCCCCCCCCCCCCCGCCGGTAAGGGGAGTTTGCTATTTCTCCATCTGCCCAGGGAAACTTGGCCGCCTGGGAAGCTGCTGAGGGTAGATGCTGATTGTAACCATCTTGCACAATATCAGCTCACATAACAGAGTCATGGCCCCCGGGCTTGGCACTGCGTTAGGGGCTGGATTTATGCGGACAGAGACATGCCAGGGAACCATGAGGTACAGACTCAAGGAAGATGGGACTCAGTCTCTGTAGTTAGTATATGGGGCACGGGGCCCTGTGTGCTGCTTGACTTTAGATGTTGGCCTGGACTGTAGGCGTTGGGAGGACTTTCAGGGACATCTAGCTACCCTTTGGTTTCACAGGTAAGGATAATAAGGGTCAAGCAATCTACCCAAGGTTACACGGGCAGTTAACAAGACATTTGGTCCTAAAACTCTCATGGATGGGCCCTTTGCATATGATCATCCCAAAGAATTTCGGGCAAAGCCATGAAATCAGCTGAATGCACCACTGTGTAACCTTTCTCAGGCCCCTGATGCTGCCAGCTGCTCCCTGACCAAGTGCAAGGACTTGGAAGTATCCCAAGCTTGTCCTGGCTTGCCTCCTTCTTGCCAATTTTCTCGGATCTCCAAGAGAAAATCTCTTGCCTTTTCTTACCTATGACCTTGCTTTTCCCTCTCTGATCCTCTGCAATTTCTTTCCACGTGTGTCCCTTTTCCCACTGTGATAGTTCTGCTCCTTTCCCTCTGTTAGTTCCGTCCCTCAAGGCCTGGAGAACGGAGATCACAGGGCATCTCCTCCACAAAGCTTTCCATGCACCATCCGTCTAATTTCCTACCACCTGACGCATTTCCAGGAGAGCCAAGGCTCTTGCATCACTAATGTGCAAATCATCCCACTGCTCTGTGCTGGGGTTTGGGGACGAGGTTTCTCTGGAGTGTCATGTCAATTCAGTTACCCTCCAGGGAGATTTATTCTCTTAGTCCAGGAACGGTTTCCCTGGGTCCAGCCAGCAGAGTTCCGTCTGATGGGATTCGACATAACCCTCTTGGCACTTGACACTCTCTCTTCCTTGCTGTGGCAGCAGGGAGGCTCCCTGGCAGGAGTTCAGGTGCAGATGTCCTGGACGCCCAGCTGAACTCAGTCAGGAGCCTGAGCTAACATAGCCCTCTGCTCCTTGTCGTTCCAGCCCAGCTTATATAAGCCTCTCTTGGAAGCCGTCCACGAACCAGCCCAGCCCTGTCCCTCCGTCTATGCTGACACAGCACCTCTACTCTCTTGTCATTTAACTTGAACGGAAATGATTTCAATAATGGGAGTTGGGTCGTTTCTGCCGCTAGCTGCTGAACTCCACTCAGAGCGGGGAGCGCGCCTGCCCACCTTCCACGACAGCCTAGCACGAGACTGTATCGGGCTCCGTGAATATTTGCCTAATGAATGAATAAATTCAGGCTTGCTCTTGTTCATCTCTGGGTGTTTATGCGAAAAGAAAAGAACATGTAATTCATCATATGAAACGACACAAGCTCACTAAGCTTCCTCTCCTGTCCTGTCAGGAGAAGATTTGTACTCACAGGTGTCCTTCTAAGTGAGGGAGCCAAGAATTCTCGTGAAGATTTCCAGGGCAACACCTTCCAGTGGGCTAATCTTTGGTCTCAGAGGCTGCCAGAGACACGTGGGAGGAAAACTGTATCTATGGTCTTTGAATTGTGTTGTTTGTGGCCTTCATATCACGTGGAGGTTGAGAAAGTGGGCTGCTCACACGGGCAGCCGATTTAGCTCTGTGGGCCTCAGTTTCCTCATTTGTCACGTGGGGATAATAATGATCCCGATTACGTAGGGATCTGGTAAGCATTACAGAGAGAAAACATGTCAACTGTGTGGCATACACAGAGCCCGACACATCAAAAGGGTTCAAGGAATGTCTGCTCTCACTAGTACTGTTGTCAGGAATCCCTTTGACTTCCGCACACCTTCGGGGCAGAGGCTCTGTTAGCTCAGATCGGTGGTACTAAGAAGATCTTGAGGCAAAGTGGAGGGGGTCACTTGGACCCAGGAGTAACCTCTTTGCAAACCCAGGCTCCCCTCACTCTTACCTGGCACAGAGGTGCCAAATGCCACAAAGACAACAGCTGTGACTGAGTCCTTGAGGCCAATGGTGCAGCCAAAGTGGGAGGCCAGGTCCCCAATGACGGCCGTGAGCATGCCGATGATGAGAATGGACACGACGAAGCAGGCCCAGCCGTGACAGTACTCTGTGGGGGGCACGCAGGCAAACAGCACCTTCCAGAAGACGGTCAGAAAGTGCATGACGTAGTCAAAGCAGGATGGCAGCCTCTCCTCACCTGACTCATCCTCATCCTCGTCCCCTGCTGCAGACAAGATAAAACAGGCCCCCAGGAAGGGCAGCGAGGTCAGGTCCCTGTTCAGGAAAACTCAGGTCAACCCAACATGGCAAGCATTATCAGCGGGCAGGACACTCCCGCTCTCTCCTGAGCCGCCGGGGGGCCAGGTTGCGGGTGCCTGAAAACACTGGAGAAAGGGGAGCCAGGTGGGGGTGGCCCACTGGTCAAGGTGAGTGCAGGGCAGCAGGGAGGGTGGGAGGGAGAGGACAGGGGAATAGGGAGAGAAGGGAGGAGAGAGGACAAAGGGTCGGGATGAGGGGAGATCACAGGAGGGACAAGGTGATGAGGCAGAGAGGAGGGTGGAGGAGGCTTCCTCAGTTGCCTGGGCCAAGAAAAGCAAAAGCAGCTGTATGTCCGAGCTCCTCCCTAACTTTCCTGACCCGCCTGCTGAAGTAACCTCATGGTTCCAGTTGTCATCCGTCCCCAGAGGCGCGGCTGTCATTCCAGATCATGTGGGCATACCAGAGAACCAGCGCCATCCTCCCGATATCCCCTGGGACAGAGCAGGGCTGGGCCCCATTGTCCTCGCCAGGAAACAGGGGCCAAGTGGCCCGTTTAGCGGTCCGGGAGGAGAGGATGTGCTGAGGCCCGCTGGCACCCGTTCCGGGGCAGCCTCGGTTAGATTTAACACGATCAGAGGAAGTGAGGGTTTTAACAAGCAGGAGTTAGGACACGTGAGGTCCGGTTGCAGCTTTGCCAGGAAGAGGATCTGTAAGCTGGGGAAAATCACCTCTTATTTCTAACCCTCAGTTCCTTTGTTCGAGAAAGGAGGGGGTTTGATGATATGGCCTATATTCTGTTTATTGTCCCCTTAGGGGCAAAGTAAGGTCATCAGAGGGTGTCCTGGGGAGATCTGAGGAGGGCCACGTGAGATGTGGGGGAGCAGCGGCTGAAGACACCCTCTCTTCCTGGCGGTCCTTCTGCTCTGGCTCCTGGGCCTCAGGGATGTGACCCTGTGGGTTGCTATGACAACGAAGCCTCATGAAAGCAGACAAGGCCAGTGGAACTGGGCAGAACGAGGAGGGTGCCGTGGTGCCAAGAGGCACTGTGGGTGGTGATGGAGACATCTTGTCTGGGGCCCTGGCTGTGCTCTGGGCCACCACTGAGGGAGCCTGACAGTGAATGGCCAAGGAGAGGTCTGGAATCATCCAGAGTGGAGGTTTGCCAGTGTCAATGCAGGGAATTTACAAACTCTGGACCCCCACATCTCTAATCAGAGTAGTCCTCCAGTTAACAGAAAAGGAGGACCAAAATAATGAGAGGAAGGAATGATGGAAACCAGAATTTAATGAGTTCTGTTTGGCACCGGACTCTCTCATTCAGCTTTGCTGAAAAAGGTCGAAATGATTCCCTTTTTGAATGAGGAAATTGAGGTGGAGGGAAGGTAACTTGTCCCACGTCACACAGCAGAGCCAGGATCTAAAACCAGCAGGTAGCCAGGCTCTCCCAGCTACCCCATGATTCTTCTCCGAAGTGACCTGGTAAAACAAGCCAACAGCAAGGACTAGATCTGGGATGCAGGGGCCTTCCCAGAAATCGGTAGCTGCGGATGGGGCTGTGTTCGCCCTTCTCTGGAGTTGCCTGTTCCTCTCAGCAAGGCTGGTGCCCATCTTGAGACCCTCTTACCTGCACTGACAGTGATGGCCTCCATGAACTGGTCCCTCCAGGAATGGGTCCCCACAACCATGGCCAGGTTTGTCTTCTTGATCAGTTTGTCCACCGTATTCTGTCGGGGAGATAAAAACTCAAAATCATGAAGTTAGAATGCTCAGAACTGTGGAGGAGTCTGATGCTTCAAGGGGATGAAAGATGTCTTGCATTCTGGGCATATATCCACATGGGTTCTGGGAGTAATGGCCTTGCATGGTATCTTCTGGGTCAGTCTTTCTATTTCTCTTTTCTTTGGTTGTGATGGCAGATATTGGATACTTAGAGCTATACAATAAAGCATAATGGTATTGATACCAATAAATGTTGCCCCAAGTAGTAAATTTTAGAATTTTTGTTTTTAAAATTCAGTTGAACAATAGAAATAATACATACAGGGGCTTTATAGCCCTTTTATTCCATTTGTTGTGTTTCCTCCCAATATTCCTAGGATCTAAATGGCCAGGGCTATTCGTTCCAGGTTACACATGGGGACATTGACACTGGGTGAGTAGGTGATTTGTTCAGTTTCAACTTCATTATTGAGTGGTGAAATCGGAACAAAACTTCTACCTCCCACCGCATTACTCTATTATTCAATTAGATCTCACTTATGGCCTGACCTTGAACTCAAAGGATTCTTCAATGATGACCTCTAGTTTGGGGTGTTCGCCCAGTACTGGCTTTCCCATTTCTGCTATCCTCTTGGCCTCCTCCTCCTCCACAGTCAGCTTTCTGTCTGTCACCTCTGCAACAAAACAAAATCAGACTAGCTTTAGCACATTCTGCACTTCCTAGGGATCTAGAGCTCAGAGCATCAGGCACGAGCAGTGGGCACACAGCAAGCTCTTCTCAAGAGTAGGGACTTCGGGTACTTTTTAGTGTCTCTTTCTATAACATGCTGAACATTTTATGACCGTCAGACCATGAGAGGGTCCCCTGCAGTCCTGGGATAAGTATTCCTATTTCCATCTTATAACTGAGTGTGCAACCTGACCCAGAGACCTTCCACGAAATAGCACCTAGTGAAATTCCCAAGTCATCTGGTGAGATATTGGAGAGCTGGGAACAAAAGCATTTGCCAATTTGAATTGTTAGGCCTGACTGTTCAACTACTTGATATAAAAGTCCTTGGAGGCCAGAACCACATGTTAATCCAAAGGGTATGTCTACTGGTTCCCGTTAACATCTGTTTCCAACGACGTTGGGACTGTGCCCTCTGTAGAGGAGAAAGCAGGAATATCTACACTCCGTACAAGTGAATGTTGTCCTCACAGTGAGAAACTTGGAAGAGTTCCTGAAAGATTTCCTGATTATCCAATGAAAGGTCCCCAGGAATTCTGTAGGAGCCAGGTGTATTTCTTCTGGAACAGAAATACTTGTTCTTCCTTTACTTTTTTTTGAGGCATTCCCTGTGTCCCCCAGCATCTTGACTCATTTACCAGAGGTCCCTTCTCATGCTGAATGGTGCGAAAAATGTTCCACTTCAGCTGGTGAGTCCATTTTAAGACCACTTCACCACGAAGACATGTTTTCTGGATTAGAGTGAAATAGAGATTGAATCTTTTTATTCCCCTTTGATTAGAAAATTGCTCTTGGCAGCCTGTTTCTTTCAGAGATCATTTAAACATCTTTCCTTCCAAGCCCACATTTTTATATGCAATTAATTCTTTTATTGAGTTCCTTAATTGCTTTCATTCCACACAGTGAATCTCCTATGGGAATCCTTTAGTCCTTGGATAATCTCAAAGACAAAGTGGGTCAGTGGCCAAGGAGGTCTTCTTTTCTCTCTAACCTGGGGATTGGTGAAATGTAGGGATAGGTAAGGCTTGAGCCCTTGAAGTTGCAAGGAAAGGAATTCACTGGAAAGACAATAAGCCAAGAGTGTAAGTTACCAGAGAGGCTGCTTTATAGGAGAATTTTCTTAGTTGTCCTGAATGAAGATGGGAAGAAAGTATGCACTGGGTTCCTGAGCTGGCCGCTCCACTGAGTGCTTCTGGCCCCAAACACAGAAGGCAATCCCAAAATGTTTGGGAGCTGTCCGTGGTGCTGTCCTCCTGTAGCGTTGGTGAAGACTTTCAGAAGGAATTACTTCTTAAGGATCAATGTCCTATTTCTAAGTAAGCAGACACCCTCTAGCAGTCTAACTTTATTCAATCCATTGATTCAGAGTCTTTTATTAGTTAATTATGAAGGTAAATCTGGGTATACCTAGGGTTCTGGCTATGAAGTCAGTGATCCTAGAAGCCAGGTTGCAGGCTACTGTGAGAAAAAGCCTTTAGAAAGAGACTTATAGATTCCTTAAAAACAAGAGTACTTTTTTTCCCTCTACTTGTAGGTTTTGGCACCATATCACAATGGCTATCCTAGCAGTGACAGTATTATTCTACTTTATTCTACTCCTCCCTCCCCGATGCCCCCATGTCATACTTTACATGTGCCTCAAGAACTCTATACCAATATAATGAGCTCTCCAGTGACATATAAATGTACCTGTCTAACCCCTTGTCTAGCTATCAATCTGGCACTATATCCATCTGGCAGGATATTGATCTACCTACTGACCTGTCCACCCCTGTGGTGACATTCAGTTTTTCCATCTAGCTTTTTGCCAAAATCTCTCTGACAAATACCAATCCTCTATCTTTGGATCTCCCACAGCCCCACAGAGGAACTCCATATATATCAGTTAAGTGACTGATTCACATGCCTTTAAATCAACTCTGATTTAGTGTCTTGGTTTGATAGTAATTCTATTTCTGTAATGATCATTCCTTTACATTCAAACTACTTTCTTGAGAAAGTGACAAGTCTTCCATTTAAAAGACCATAATGACTGTGATAGCTTGTTTATGTAACTCCTCAGAATCTCAAGTGAAGGTGGGTGGGTAGGATAGGTGATTTTGATATTTGGACTGACTGAATAAACTCTCAGATCGCAGGAAAGGGGGAGGGGAGGGAGGGAGAGAGAAAGAGAGAGAATATGAATAGGATGAAAGATTGAGCAAATATTGGAAGAACAAAGAGCTTGCCAGGCCAGACAAGAATAGATTGCTCTCAATGCTCTACAGGTATCCTCAGAAAGAAATGGGGCGATGCAGCTAGTGCGCTCATTTCGAGGTCCCTGAGCTTGGTGGTATAGCTCAGAATGAACGTATTTACTCTGTCTTTCACCACCAGACATTGTTAATCATGTTTGCCTGTCCACCCAGGAAAATTAAGACAAGAACATGAGATTTCCAGTGAGTTTTAAGTCTAACCATGGGCTCCTAGATTAAAAGTTTACAGACTGAAAGATCTAGAAAGTGATACCTGCTTTTCTTATTTTAGCTTCTATTGGTATTTTTGCAAATATGTTCAAAGTACAAGAAAGCCTAAATTAAGTCACCAGTCTTCGTTGTGTGTCTATGTGTGTGGGAGGTGGTGGGGGTGGGTGGAAGCAAGAGTTGGAACAAAGAAGCCCAAATCTTCTCAGGCAAGAAAGTTACTGGAGAAGGAACTCCCAATGCTATGACATTAATTCCTTGAGGGAATAGTGGAATATATGGGGTCAGAGGTAGTTCTTATCCTGTTGGTATAAAGAGGAAGCAAATGGCCAAGGAAGCAGGAGTCCCCCCCTTTTTTTTCCCAGGAAAAAAAAAAAGGTTTGCCTATGTTTATTATTGTTATTGTTTAAAGCCTCCAAGGAGGTCAATGTTCTTTATATATTACCCTTCTCAATACCCGGTGCAGCCTATTCTTAATTTTGAATACGAGTGAATTCTGTAAGATGTTTTGCCTCTCAATTGCTCTTAAATTTTTTTTATATCTTCAAAGAACTGATGAATTTAAAGTGTGATTTTAACTTATATTGAGACATCTTGCATAGCTCACTCTGCCTGCACTGAGAGTTACAGAATTGCAGATATGCTGGAAATGCTTTCCTATCTGTTCACGAAGTTGGATGTCATTTATGATTTCATTACACCCAAGCAAGCATACTCTCAAAGAAGGTATTCATCCTACAACAGAACCTAGATTCTGCATGAGAATGTGTCCAAAATAAATTCCCCCAAATTTCTATTTCCAGCCAGATAATTGTTCCCACCACCCATAATATCCTAATTCTTCTTCATGTTCATGGCACATGTGACTTCAAGGGTCAATGACAAATGAACCAAAGTTCTAGCAATTTAGGTCTCAGCTGTAATGAGATGGAAGATCTCCAGGATCAGTAAAATTCCAGATTCTTTAAAAATTGCTTTTCACCTTCTCACAGCAGCTCCTGATTATTTTCCCCTGGTTCCCTCAAGATCAAAGTATTTGCTTTCAAATCCCATCACGATCCCATTAGGAGCTTCAGCCCTGACTCTCACCCTCTCTTGCCCTACAACATGAAATGACAGATGAACTAAGACGCTGGAGAAGTCTATGACCCACTGTCTGTTTGTAAGTTTCAACTCTCTTCCTGGTCCCAGAGAGGACCGGTTCTGCCTTTACCCACATCTGCTGACAGAAGTGATGCTCAAAGAATTCTACTTCCTCACAATTACTTCAAGTGGGGAAATAAAGCTCTCAGTCCTTAGGAGAACTTGTCAGGTTACCTGGAGCCCGCAGTTCCTATTAAATAAATCAAAGGACATTGGTCTTAAACTAAATAATGGCACTGGCAAGAAGCAAGAAAGAGGGGGCAAGACACCTCTTACCTGGAGACAACAGGAGCGCTGTTCGCAAATGGATACCAGACAAGGGGAAGAAAGAAAAGGAAAGAGCATTAAGGTCCCATCTTGAAAGTATCCCCAGGCTTTGTGGTTGCAGCAGGGTAAGGAAGGCAGTGAGCTTAGTGGGTGAGAGCCCTGCAGCGACATGCAAAGGGCAGCATTTGGAGCATGTGCAACCACAGCAGCAGCAAGAGGTGTAAGCCACTGGAGGGACTGCTGAGCGCCAGAGCCCTGACTTTCCCCACACATTTCCTACAGCTCTGGGCACAAGGGGAAAAGGAAGGAGGATGGGGAATTCAGGTGAGTGGAGCAGAGACAGAGTTGGTCATTCGTGTTGTTCTAAGAAATCAGGTTATCGTATCTATTCTGTAAAAGAATGAGGATCTAATTACCATGAAAACGGTATAGTGTAGCTGGCTTATCAGTGGGGCACATGGCCCTAGGGTTTCAAGGTCCTGAGCAGTGGTCTACAAGAGTGGAACAGTGCTCAGTCCTGTGTCTTCTAGTCCTAACTTTATAACCAGATCGAGCTTAGCTTCCCAGTGCCCATGCCACTCCCATGGCCACAAATAGCTTCCTAGCTACCACACTGGCCAGAACTTGGAGTTCCCCTCAAAGGAGGACCTCATGAAAAGGTAATTTCTGCAAAACGTCTTCTCTGAATGGTTTATCTTTTTAGAGATACAGCCTGGAGATTAGGGTAATACCATTTGGTATTACCTGTGGCAGGCAAAGTCACAGCAACTAGTAGGTGTTTGGTAGAGATATCTTTTCTTGCCACCTAGTTTGGCAATTGTATTTTTTATAGATTCTGTGGTGCTGCGCCTGGCAGAGTGGTGTCTTTATTCCAGAAAGGACAGGCTAAATAGGGTCCAGGTATCCTGGACCAGAGAAACTGTTATACAGAAAGCTGTTTGTAGGTGGGACTGGGAAGCTGAGTTAGATGTACCTAACACAGGGCATCCCTAGCTCCCAAATTTGTACTTATGCTAAAAAAATTCTTCTGACATACCACATTTCCCTCTCAATGGTGTCTCAGTACAGCCCCACACTCCCTGGCTCTTGTCATATAGAAGTCTGGGAACATCCCACTACATACTCGTGGTACGGCTGGTGACTGATGGTGCTGGGGAAGGAGCGGGGGTGGTGTCTGTGAATTGTTTCTTCTAAAAATCTCTAGGAAGGCAGCTCCGGCCAACGATCCATCATTTCACAGTCACAACCACTGAAGACACTTGTGGATTGAGAATTTTTATGTATATGAGCAGAGTGAACAGCAGTTGACTTTTTCTGGTTCCTCGAGGCCATATGGAATTCCAAGGGGGTAAGTGAGTGACTCTCTTTGCTACATTGAGATGGATAGATAGACAGATAGCAAGAGAGCTTGTTCATTCTGCTCCTTTTATGGAGCTGCATGGAAGCAGAGCCCTTCCTGGCCCCCCAGGCTCCAGGGGAAACCAGAAACCCAAATACATCAGTGAACCCAGGTAGGCCAGACAAGAGGAAGCTCTTCCAGAAAGGTCCCTCCTGGCCTGGTTTTCACTCAGAAGTCCCTCCCAAGCAGAGGGCTTGCAGTCAGCCGGAAATGGTCCTATTCTCTGGTCATTGTCTACATGAATTTGAGACTTTCCACTTAGCAGTTACAGATGGGTCAGCGAGACCCAGATAGGCCAGTTCTGAGTGACATAACACCTCCAGGCTGTTTTTCCTGCTGCTGTTGATGAGAGAATCTGCAGCTGAACTTTCCCCTGTATTGATCCCCAGGGTCAGGTGAGCATCATTTATCCCTGCTTGGACACCCCAGGGACATACAGGAAATAGCATAGCTCTGTGAGTAATTGGAAGCATCTGGGCAGCTTGTCAGGGGAAGCCCACTGATGTGGTAAGAGGGGGCACAGACAGGCCCCATGACTGGGGGAGAATGCTTTCCTTTCCACATGAGGCTCCCAGTGTCCAGGCCCAACAGCCTTGACCATGCTGCTTGGCGTTGCCCTCCGATGTCTACTTCTAGATTCTGGCACTTACTCTAAGCCACGACAACCATGTTTCCTATTCATCCTCCCTTTTCCCTCCTCTAGCTTATCCGGAGCATTTAATCTCACCTCTAAAGTCTGTTTTGTCTGCCAAGAATAGAATCTGCTATTTCAAATGTAGTGCTTTTTTTTTTTTTTTTTCCTTCGGTAACTCAATTGTCATTTTGATCATGCAAAGTCTAGGCTGTTCTGAATGCCTAAGACTCCCCCATGCAGCAGTGGTCATGAAAAGCTTTCTACTGTACAGTTTCTCACTCTTAGAACAGCAGGGAATTCTGAAAATCAGGATGGGTTTTCATGTGATTCTGAGTCTAGACAATCCAGTTGTATGACCTTTCACCTAATGGTCTAATGCCAAAATATGGGAAGATGTGAAGACACTGAAAATAGACAATAGGCCAGGAGGTCGGGAAATGCACATATTTCCTATTGGCACCTTCGATCTTGGCATCTTGGTCACTGGGAAGACCTGGAGGGTCCTTGCCTTCTCACCTACTCACTCCCTGGGACTAGGCTCCACTAGGACTCTGCTGACATCTCCTTGGACAAAGAGTCCAGGGCAAAAAAAGAGGGGTGTCCTCAAATGGGGAGTAGCCAAAGGCATTTGCATTTGGCCAAGTCTCTTGAAGACAGCAAGGTGTATCTTAGGTCCCTCCCTGTCCTGCTGTTGATCAGGGTTTATTGGGGAGGCAGAAAAGAAGAGGGAGGCCTCTTTACTGGTGGAATAAAATCACGGATAGACTTTCAACCCATTCGTTTTGTCTGGAGCCACTGCCTGCTTTCCAGCTACCCTGAATGATCTCTTGCGCTGCTTTCATTTGCACCTACATAACAGACTATAGAAATTGATAAATCTAGTTTACAATGGCCTTAGGTGTCTGCTGCATCCAACCAATCATGAGGCGGTGAAGTAGATGCACAAGGGAAGTCGGAATGAGGTAGGGCAGGTGTTGAGACAATTTCTGAGAATGTTCTCAGTGGTAGCAACTGGCGGACTGGCAATCTAAACAATGGAACTAGAGATTTTCTCCCCTCGCTCACACTCTGGCAGTCAGAATTATGGCGACATCCTATCAGGTGGCAAGGAGAGGATGAGTAATGGAAGATGGAGAGGGCTTTTGCCCCTAGGACACTAGGCATACCCAAACCTAGGTAGACACAGAACTGGTCAGATCTGCAGAGAGTCCCCAGAAGACAGTGAGAACTGATCAATCCTGTCGATAAGGCTTTAGGAGTATAGTTGCTGAATCCCTTAGATCTGTCCTTTAAGGAAAGGCTTTATGCTGCTCTTTGTCATGTGAATATGGAGTAGTTGCAGAATAATCTCCCTTTTTTGACAAACAACTGGGTCTCACTGTTCCATCCTCCATGAGGCTCCCAGAAGCATCTCTCTCCTGAAAGGGAGTGTGAATGTCCTTCTCTTGGTACCTCCCAAGAGCACCCTTCTCCAATCCCACATATGCTCTCCAGCACTTTCGAAGTAGTGGTTTCCAATCATTTTTCTTCAAGGGAAGAAATCTTTCCTTATATCTTCCTTGGCTGCAACATAATCAGTTCCTTAGGAATGGAACCCTAGCAGGTATTCCAAGATGCATGTCTTGAGGAAGGGAGGAGATGGGGCCACTCCTCTGGTGGGAGATGAGGGTTATCTTGGGATCTGGGTGATAAGCCTATTTGCAGATGCCCAGCCAGGCAGGCTTCGGTGAACTGTGTTATTTCTCAGGGATCAAAACCCACTACACCATTTAGAGGCCCTTCTCCTATTGGAAAACCCATAAGTCAATACTCTGGGCCCACCCAGTGTTAGTCCTTTTCCAGGGCCCTCTGGCTGGGGAGATTCCCATACCTGGAGTTATTGCCTTCTTTTTGCAGACTCTCAATTTTCTGCTTTAGGGATTGCATGGTCCTAAAGCAGCCTGAATAAAGGTAGAATGAGATGGGCTGGATGTCAAGGGGGAGGGAGAATAGTTCAGGACTCCAGAGCATATGAAAACTTCCGAAGCCAGCTCTGTCTCAGAGAGGTCTCAGAAGCTATGGCCTCTGACACCTGGCACACCTCTTCATACCATGGTCTCCCCAGCTGTGAAATAGTCAGATAAAACACTTACCTCCATGAAGGGCAGAGGGGCCTATGAACCACTCTGCAAGGGAATAACCCGCCACGCACTCAAGGAAGGTTGGGGAATGCAGCAGGAAACTGTCAAAGCATCATTGCAACACGGGCCCCGGCCCCCATCCCAGACTCTTCCCCCCAATTCAATCCAGGCTCAAGGGTGAAGGGTGGGAGGGCAAGAAGGCAGGAAAGGGCACAGACATGCATGGCATCACATTCCTTTCTTTTTCTTCTCCTCCCCACCCACCAAGGAGTTTCCACAGTTACACCTTCCATGGATGTGTGGGGGCTGTGGGGGAGAGTGCCAGGGACAGTGGTGATCAGATCTCTGGAGCACGGGGCGGGAGGAGGTAACTCGGTAGGGTAATGAGAAGTTGAGGCTGCAGCGCTGTCCAGAAGGTGGGAAAGGAGGACTGGGGAATCAGCTAAGGCTAAGAAGGCAGAGATGACACCGAAACAGGGTGAGAGCGAGAATACAGGAGGGAAAAGAATAAAAAAGTCCGTTGGTCAAAAAGAGGAAAAAGGAAAAGGGAAGAAAATGGTGAGGGGTGGGGGCAGGGAGGAAAAAAAACAGAGTTGCTTTTTTTGTGGCTGTTGCTTTTCAGTTTCAATTTTTTCTCGTTTTTTTTGGATGTTGTTGATTTTTTTTTTTTTTTTTTTTTTTTTTTAAAGAATCTCACACCTGATATTCCACGTTCCATCCATTTCGGTTCACCAAGGACAATGAAGAAATTCTCTTGCCTTTCGTATTCCTCCTCATCTACTATTTTAACCCTTATGGTTTTCCTGTAGGGACAACAAGAGAGAGAGGGTGTCGACTGGGTCGGTAGATTGGTTGGTCATTTGGAGCACAGCCTTTAAAATCATTCCCCATCACTCCTGGCGCATGCAGCCCAGTCCCGCTGTGGCGGCATCCAGTAGGACTACAGTGGATTGTATTTTTCTCATATAAAAAAACGGTCTCAGCTTTTCTTGTCTCCTTGGTCGTAGTTTGCTTATGGGTGTGAAGGAAAGGGAGCCGGGAGGCAAGGAAAAGTGGGCAAAGGAAGGGTTCCAGGAGGACAGGAGGGAAAGGGGAAGGGCAAGGGGGAGTGCTGGTGGGGGGGTCAGTTTAGATCCTGCTGATGGTTAGTAAGAAGTCAGCTGGGCAGCACATTCCACGGGGTGTCACATGGTAACTGGCATTTCCTCGGGAAGCAGGTAAACTACTGACCCATTGGGAACGATCCAGGGCCCTTCTCCAACAGGAGATATACCAATAGTACCGAGCCAGGGGCTCGTTTTCCCTTCCTGTGTCTATACTCACTTCTTATGTGAGCGTCTTAAAGAAAACTTCAAAAGTATTTATGAGGGAGAGAAACGAAAGAGAGAGAGAGAGAGAAAGGAAGGCAGAATTCTAATATCTTTGTCATTCTTGATCAGGGCTCCAGCAGTGGGAACTAAAATGAGTATGTATTAACCATAATGTGATACAGGACTCCTTTAATATTTACCGCTGAAGCACTCCTAGGAAAATGTAAAGAAAATGATATGTCATCAAATTCTAAATCACCTCTGTACTTCTATTGTATAGCGCTGATAAGTCCCAAGGCTGGCTTCCTTAAATGCTGATTATCTGGGGCCTGGGGAAAATGGTGAAGGAGGTTTCCCCAGGTCCTAGATAATCATTTCTCGGCATCTCAACAAAGCATAGTGTCGTTTAGAAACAAATCACTGAGGGAAGCCAAGTTTCTTGGAAAATCGCTCCCCTCCAGAGACTCGCATGAGGCTGGATCAGGCCAGCTGTCATTAGAGAAGTTGCGATCCCCATCTTGGTCCTCCCTAGAACCACAGTGGGGTTCGCACGTCCCAGTAGCGAGCCATGATTGTTATTTTCTGCTTGCTTTGTCTTTGGCCTGGGACCTAAGTGCTCTCTAAAGGGCAGAGATGTACTAACAAACAATAACCTAAAATGTCTCGTCAGAGCCTCTGATGTTCCTCTTTCCTTCTGAAGACACGCTCCGCTTTGCTATCTGTAAAATGGTAGACTGATCTGAGGGCGTTTGCTGGCCATAAGGTTTGCTGTGCACTTGTATTTTGTGTGTGTGTTTCACAAGTACACTCTGGGTCACCCTTTTCGGTGCTATTTTTGGACACCTTTACATACCTTGCTCAGTAGACAAAAGACAAAGCTAAATGACTATCAAGAAGATTTTCTAGAAACTTCTCTCTAAGCCCTAGATATGGGAAACTGGGGCTACCTAGGAGTTGTGAGCCTGGCAGCTTTTCCCTTGCAGGGACTCTGCTATGGGTTAGGAGTGGGTGCTCTGGGACCAAGGGCCTGGCTGGAGGGATATGACTGGAGGAAAGGAATGTTGTCCCCAAATACTGGTGGCTCCCCTTGACCCAGATGGTCTGTCCAGAAGAGGGTGTTCTGACTTGCCTATGGGAAGTCTGGGGTGTGTGGGGTCATTTAAGTTGAAGGCAAAGGCTTCATCTACTCTGAGAAATACTGTGATCTTGTGGGAAAGCTTCCACTCAAGCCATAATCCCCATCCCACCATTCTAAGTCTCTGCCATCACACCTAGATGTTCTCTGCAGGGAAAACAAGAGGCTGGCAGGTAGGTCTGCAACCTTGACCTCAAACTAAAACCTCTACTTTCAGCTCAATCAAGGTCAGGAGGGAAACACACCTTGATAGCAGGAATATGGCAGAAAAAATGGCTCCTAAGGCCTACTCTGAGGAATGGGATGAACCATAAATAGAACCCAAATCCAAATATACTGATTGCCAATGTCTGCAGACTCTAAGCTTAGCCCTGAGAATAGTGGCCCATGGGAATCTGTGCTGAGCACAGAGGCCAGTTTCCCAGCACTGCCCTCCCACCTGGCGCCGTATTGTGTGGTCTTTCTCCTTCCCATATAGAAAGCCATCCAGGAGAAGCAGAGAGCCCTATATATGATACTCCGGGCTCTGGCTGACTATCTCTTTCTCTCTCCCCCACGCTGTGTTTTTCCCATATCCATTTCTCCATCTCACAAAAATTACAGTTGACTCCTGAACATCCCTCTTACGGATACCATGTGACAGGCTGATGGGTGTTAGGGCAGTGCTGGGATCAGAGAGAGGAGAGGGAGAGGTGCAAAGAAAGGAAATGAGAGAACAACAAAGAAAACAAGGGGACGTGGACTTAGAGAGGCAGAAGAAAGGGAGAATAGAAGACAAACAGATGGGGGAAAGAAAGAACCAGAAGAGGAGAGGAGAGGAGAGAAGAACGTTAATGTTAGTGTGGAGGACAGGGTACTACACCTTTCTGAAAACTCATATCCACCATGCGGGGGCCCATCATCTCAATGAAGTAATTCTTGTTTTTCTCATACGCCTCATCATCAATTACCTTGATGTGAATTGTTTTGCTGTGGATGGAAAAATAAGTATCATAAGCAAGGAGCAGATTGGGGTGGCAGCAAGCCAGCTGGGAGAAGGAACAGGAAGAGAAGGAAACAGTAAAAAGATCCAGAAAGGTCAAAGTGTGTCCCCACGGGGGCACCGAGGGGAGGGGCTGCCCCAGGCCCCCTTCCAGGCTCCCTGGGCTCCTCTTAGCTTCGTGGGGCTTCGTGGCATGGTCAGACTCAAAGGCTGGAAAGTCAAAGGTTCTGGGTTCTAATCTTGGATACGCCACGTGACTTGGACAAATAATGTAACTCATATAGAAACAGGTTAAATAATGCTTACACCGTCCCAGGGCAGTTGTGAGAGCAATGAAATAATATAAGCGTAATGGTCCCATCATTTAGGTCCTCCGTGATGTTTGCTTCCTTGTCCTGCTCACTCTGGGGACAGGGAGAATTTTTTGACTTTTGAAATCAGCTGGTATTGGTCTGAAAGGCATATGTTATAGAAAGGACGCGGATGGGGGGCCTGTTGGCCTGTGGGAGTCTTGCCTGGACATAGAAGGACTTTTTCTTCCCTTTCTCTGTGGCAGGGACTACCATAGGGAAGCCAGGAGGGCCAGGCGGCTCAAGTCACACATTCTGGAACTCACAGCGGGCTTCAAAAGCTTGTAAGCTACCTCTGGATGAGGCCTGAAGCCTCAGCGGGGGCAAGAACCGGATTACATGAACTCTAGGGCACTCTGAGCCCCAGTTACCTTACAAATCCTATAGTGACCTTGCGATTAGCACAATTATACTATTTTTATATTAAAAGGTGCTAAACAGGGGCACCTGGGTTGCTCAGTAGGTTAAAGCCTCTGCCTTCAGCTCAGGCCATGATCCCAGGGTCCTGGGATTGAGCCTCACATCGGGCTCTCTGCTCTGCAGGGAGCCTACTTCCTCCTCTCTCTCTGCCTGCCTTTCTGCCTACTTGTGATCTCTGTTTGTCAAATAAATTAAAAAAAATAAATCTTTAAAAGGTGCTAAACAATGAAAAACATAAACCAATTTTTGTAGTCCTGATTTCCATTTTCCTTCCTTCCTTCCTTCCTTCCTTCCTATTACTAGGAGCTTTAAAAACAAAGATGGACCTGGGCCTCTCCCAACCTTTGCTTAATAATGGGGACATTCCAGCACCAGACTCCAGTTGAGGCCGGTCACAGAGGGTGTGGGACACTGCTGGAGGGGTGTGCCCAGAGCTGAGTCTCCCCTCAGCAGTGGGACGAAGAGATCCATGCAGGAGCCCTGTCCAGCTGCCCATGGGGCGTGCACCCTCGCAGACTTGAGGGGGCCACAGGCCTGCCCTTTGTGGACCCTTTGTTGAGGAGGCTGAGGTCTTCTGCACCTCCCTTTAAAAAAAAAATATATATATATATATACACACACACACACACACACACACATATGTATATATGTTGTATATATATATATACACACACACACATATATATGTTGTATATATATATACACACACATACATAAAGTAGGACTATCTTTACATTCTGACTTGGAACAACCTCTCTGCTCACCCAAGTTTTCCTAAGTCCCCGTCGAGCGTGTTGGATGGCAACAGAGTTTCCCTCGTCCACGCTGCTGAACCTAGAGAACCAATGCGGGCTTGTGGCTCCCGAGGTGAATGAAGAGTGATTACTAACACACCCTAGCACCCGCCAGTCCGTGGCTTCAAAATTAGAGACGCCAAACTGTCCTCACTTGCCGCACCCACTGCCGTCGCAGCGAAAGCTGGCTGGCCAACACGGAAACCGTGAGCGTTCAGCCTCTGACTTTCTTCCTTGAAAGCAGCGGCCCTGGTACTAGAGACTGAGGACCTGGGGTCAGATCCGGCCTCCACTTCTCACTAGCTGGGTGACCCCGGCGCAACCAGCTAAAGCTCTTCAAGTCTCATTTGTTAAGGGAACACCTACTTCAGAGCGTTCTTAAATGAGATCATGCACATGATGCACTTGGTGGGGACAGGTTCTCTCGTGAGCACTTAATAAATAACAACCATTATTACTAAGGGCAACAGGACCCCGATGTGGGGGGTTGAGAGTAGTATGGGAGGGACTCTTGCCATCTCCAGTCTTTAAGTCAGAAAATAAGGGGAGATCAACAGATAGAACGGGTGGCTCAAGAAGGGGTACAGGCCGGAAATGGAAGTCAGGTCAAGAAAGGACTGGATAGGGGTGCCTGGGTGGCTCAGTGGGTTAAAGCCTCTGCCTTCAGCTCAGGTCATGATCTCAGGGTCCTGGGATGGAGCCCTGCTTCGGACCCTCTGCTTAGCAGGGAGCCTGCTTCCTCCTCTCTCTCTGCCTGCCTCTCTGCCTACTTGTGATCTCTGCCTGTCAAATAAATAAATAAAATCTTAACAAAAAAAAAAGGAAGGACTGGATAGTGCAGGACGATCCGTCCTAGATGGGTTGGGGAGGGGCTGATAATGCTAAAGGTGAGAGCACAGACAGCAACTCACACGGTTTTTCAAAATCCGGCCTTGAGTCTCTGTCAGTGACAAGCTCTGGGCTGGACGGACTGCGTCTGGGGACCGTCTGTGACTTGTGCTTGTGAGTTTTAGAGAATAGATGAAGAGAATAAGAGATGTCATCGATAACTCAGCGGAAGACAGGGAAACGAGGACAGACAGTAGTAGTGGCCCGAGGAACTGAGGTGGGCCTGGCGGACCCCCTGGCCGGAGGAGTGCAGGAGATGGGGTATCTGACTCCCTCGCTGGGATCAGTCATGGGGATGGCAATACCTCCATTTGGACCCTGCCTGGAGCTAGAGAAACCCTTTCTCTTCCAGCTCTTGAAAACCAAGTAAGTCCTCAATTCTGATGAAGCCACGAGGACATTTAAATTAAGGGAGAGTCACCAGCCAGGTCTTGAGTTCTCTTTCCTAACTTGTTCTTCCTCATTTCAGTCAACAGCAACGTGGTCTATCCAGACCCGGAAATCACCCCTGATTCTTTCCTTTTCCTCACTCTTTCCCCCAACACCACCCCAACCCTAATGTAATTTGCTGTCATATTTCCGTCTGCTACTGAGACCCCGATCGATACACCATTGCCTCTCCTTTGGACTTCGTAATAACTCTGTAAGAGATATTCTGGCCTTTGCCCCCTCCTTCAATTCCTTCCCCCCATAATGACCCAGGGCGGTCTGTTAAAAACACAATCCAAGTCCCATCCCACCATTATCATTGGAATAAATGCAGAGTCCTTACCATGGCCTAGAGGATCTTACATGTCCCAGCTGCTGGTGACCTTGCTGACCATTCCCACCGTTTCCCCCTTGCTCGGGAGTCCCACCGACACCGGCCTTTCTATTCCTTAAATCAAGACCCTTCTCACTTGAGGCATCATCCTTGCTTGTTCTCTGTGCCTGGGTCTGTGCTATCCTCATCCTTTGGGTCTCCACATACGCATCACCTCCTAGGAGAGGCCCTCCATGGGCACCTGACCTCCTTGTGTCTTTTTCCTGCTCACTGTCTCTACCCCCCCCAACCACGGGTCACCCTCCTCTATGTTCCGTCTGCTCATTCCCTTTAGTGCACCAATCACAGCCTGAAGGCAAATGGCTGGTTTATTAACTTTCTTGTTTCTAGTCTGTCTGTCCACACTGGAATGTAAGCACAGGGAAACTGTCTCACTTGCCGTCACGGTCCTAGTGGCCGGCGTGGAGAAGGACCTTGACCATGATTTGCTGAAGGACTGAAGGTGAATTTCTGACACAGCTGAGAACACACCTGCCTTTCTGCAGCAAAAACTCATTAGGAACAATAAAACATTGCTTTGAAGGCTTTTCTGATATAATGCCCAGGGATTCCCCGTGGGACAAAGAGACCAGAAGCCCAATGTCATCCAACTCTACCGTCCGTTGATGAGCCCACTCCATTTGTCTGTCTACAGGACCGCTCTCCAGCAACACGGGGGGACTGAATTCATGGGGCTTGGCTGGGAGCTTTGAACCATACCAAGGCAAGGTGTTGACCTGCCCTGCTTCTCCTCCCAGCCTTCTGCTGAGGGAGGAACCAACGCGGGCAGCGCTCCCGAGCTTGAAGGGCTACTGCTTGGAAAAGACGCTCCCAGGAGCTCTCCCACCAACAAGCCAGAAGGGATCAGGAAACCCGTTTCCGGTCTGCCTGCCTGGCCTCTCAGAACATTCCTTTGCACTGAGGACACCCAATTCCAAACCAGGCCTCTCGTCCTCAGGACACTGCAAAGGGAAGGGTGCTCTTTAGCCACTGAGTTCCCTGAGGGTGAAAGAGAGAGAGGAAGCAGCATTTATTTGTAGAATGGATGAATACTACCCTGGAGGAGGGCCCTGTGGACTTGGCTTTACACGGGAAAGGGATTTGAGATAAGATACACATTTACATTCTCAACACCATAAGAACTTCCTTATTTCATCCTTACTTCCCCCATCTGACATAGGAATTATTACTTGCACTTTAAAAGATGAGAAAACAAATGCTCAGAGAGGCTAAGTCACTTGCCTAGAGTCATACAGCTAGCACACAGTGGAGCTGGGATTTTAGCAAACGTCCCTTATTACTGCTACAGCTTATTTTATGCAAGCAGGCGGATAAACTCTGGACGCCATTCCTGAGCTGTGCCACAGCGAGGAACCACAGAATTCTCCCATTTAAATGGAGGCAGCAGGGGAGAAATTCGGTTCCTAAGTGGCTCTGCCTGGGTACTGCGCCGGGGAGTAGGGGGCTTGCTAACCCTTTGGCCCTCCCTTTCTAGAAGTAATCGCTAAGTAATCTCTAACTTAGTGACTGCTGCCCTTCGGATTTCTATGAAATGACTCTTCCCCATCGAGAAGGGTTCTTTCTCATCGTTTCTGAATTTACCCCAGGTGCTCCAGGCCTGCTCACAACTCACAAAGCTCCCTCTACCTGGGCCTGGAGGACAGCGGGCGTGGACCTGTAAGCTTTTCTATGGGAGCTTTCAGAAGCCTC